ATCGCGTTCCTTGGACTTCAAGTTGACATATTCATGAGCGTGTTTCTTGTGTTGCTCACCATGTCGTGGAGGGAATTCTGTTAAATCAGTGACGAATCAGGGCTATCTAAAACAAGACCATCGTACTGTCATATTCCATTGCGCCCTTCGTTCGTAGTTCTGACTGCGGAATGTGACAGCGTGAACAGAATCCTTCCTTTTTACTGTGGCTGTCAAATCCGCAAACCTTACACATTGCTTAATGATCACAGCATACTGTAACCAGAATTACACGAACACGACGACCTGAAATGCAGTTGAATAAGATTTAAACTCGACGACATCATTTGGCTTGCCACTGGGATACTTCTGTGTCTTGAGCATGACTCCTTCGTCATAGAGACGGAGCAAATCATCAACGTAGTTCTTCATAAATAACTGAAGCTGATTGGCATCCAACTCCTTCGAGCCTGGATTAATACCATAAAAAATTAAGTTTCGGGGGCGATACCTGTTGGTGAAATGAACAAGGACCCATCAAGGATGTTGAAGTCAAAGACTTACCGCATATGCGTTGGCAGGTTTCCAATGCAGCTGTACATTATACCAGAGCTGTGGGACCTGGAATTGCTACTGCGCTGGTAGTTAAACCTGAAATCAAGTCAATAGTCTGACAATGCACGAGTTTGTGTCTCACCCATCAAGGCAAAGTGTAATCCCTATTCGCAGCTCATCTGCATCCTCGAGTGCAGGGCTATTATTACAGAAAAGACTCCCATCTGCTGCTCGTAATGTCTTCCATACCTCACCATCTCGTATGGACGACCGTTTGCCAGGGATAGCTTGACATGAACGCTAAGAATCAAGATGTGCTTCGATGCCATCTTGGGACAGAAGTCGAAGAATTCCGTTAGAAAATGGGTTTTAAGGACAGCGCAGTCTCGCCTTCGCACTCGTCTTTGTGCGTGTAGACCCTGAAGATTGTGTTGGAATATCTTTCTAACGAGTCTCTTGGAAAAGTGGTTCACTGCAGTGTGTACAGAGAGAATCAGGCGGCGAGTCAGGGGAGAAGAATCGTCATGCAGACAGTACGCATAGGATGGACCTGAAATAATCAGAGAGTGCTAAATGATTGAAGGCCGTTCTCAATGTCTGTGCTGGCTTATCTTCGACAGTGAAAGCTCGAGTCCATAAAAGATAGATCTTGAAACCTTGAGAACAAGGTTTGCTGCACGGTGGGGTAGATGGGAGCGTAGATTAAGCCATGCGACGAGGAGAAGGATTATCATTATCTTCCAAAACCAATGTGGAGTTGTGTTATCCAGAACGACATCTGGAGGTAGCGGGGTCTCTGGTAGTAGGGATGAAGGTTCTTCATAGGTTGGCTGAACTATCAGAGGGGAAACATCGGTAGAATGAGTTGGTTGCATATCAGCCTGAGGGGGAAAAGGTAATTGAGTATCGGATGATGCTTCAGCTGTGTTGTAAAGACTTGCATGGCGGAGGAGCTAGCCATGTTTTTATCAAGCAAGACATTCAAACATGAACTGTGACGTGTAGAGATTTCTTTGACACTCGCATCGCCATCTTTATCATCAGACACCTCAGCAAGAGTAAACATTGAGTGGAAGGGGTCATTGCATGATCGTGACCAACCCCAGAAAATAATCCGTCGTCGAGTTGGAAATTGTAATCATCCACAAACAGTTCCTCGACATCTTGTTGCATATCGATGTCCTGTGGCATGGGAGAACCGTCAGGTTGAACAAAATCATCATCTAAGGCATCAGTGACTACATCAGTATCCATCCTACTCGGTGGTATCAAAGAGTTTACCAGAAGCTCACCACCGTCCGTCACAGAGTTACTCGGGGCTTGTCCAGGCATAGGGAGGCTTGAATTGTCTGCACTGGGACCAGGTGCGCAATCACTGAGATATATGAGATGGGAACATGTTTGCTCGATGGCTTGGGTAGGGCTCAGAGTAGCCATGACAGTAGAGGGATCATCGACTGAAAACACATTAATACTAACTATATGATCATAGAGTGAGCAACTCGTACCTTTAATGATTGTTTTACCGGTGGCCTGGCTCAATGGTTGAACTTCATAGGTGTTGTTGATATGCTTTCGAGCGGCCGCTATCTCTTCGAAAGAGACGATCTCATTATCGTCGTCTTCATCGTCATCACTGCCCATCTTCCTGTGGAGACTAGACACAAGAGTAAGACCTCAGTCGTAAGATAACGGACTCTATTGATAAGTACCTAGACACAAGAGTCAGACTACGTAGTGTCGTCAGTCTATGTATCGTACAAAGAAATGGAAAGACATACCCTCAGTCGTAAGATAACGGACTGAGGAAAGAGGGAAAGGTGAAAATGAACCATTATATACTAGATTGAATTCCTGGAATTCCTATCCTATACTCCGCTAGGACGTATCGCGTTGTCACGTGCGTTTCATACGCTAACACTTCCTGCTCTTCTTGACTCTAGCAACTTTACGATGCTTCCTCTCTAGCCATGCAGGTATCTTTTTGCCTTGATTTCCGCAGTCCTTTACACATGATGTACAGATACAATGCACAAGGCGCTTATCAGCATCCTCTGGAAAGCGGACCTGATTCAGTACCAAAACTCTGAAGTTCGCTCTAAGTACTCACCTTATTTGCCTTGTGCACCCCTGTGCTCTGCTTCGAGCCTTGTGGCATAAAATTGCTGCAAACCGTGAGTTATTGAATGAATGTTGGATAAAAACCCTTCGGAACACGCGGCTAGGGACTTAGAACTGTCTCGGCAAGAAACTGGGTCAACGATGACATATTGAGGTTGTTCTACTTATATGTGCATGGTGTTGCCCTCATTGGACCAAGGCCATGGCTATGTGAGAGGCCCAGTGAGTTGCACAGATTGGTCACCGATATTGAACTGAGATGAACATGGGTACTCGGACATACACTGAGGGAGTACAAGCAGCGCCGGACGAGGTCTGGGAAGGTGGTCTTGCATGACCTGTACAGCGTGGTAGGTTCTGAACATACACGTGGTGTTTGTACACATATTGAAAGTCTGTCTACAGCCACCTTGCCACATGGCATTCACTTTCACCCAGAACGCAGTGATTGGCATCATAGCCATTGAGTGCGGTGCAGTATTTGCTGTCACGGGGAAGATATCACGTGATGGTTCAAAATTTGGTTCAATTTCAACTTCCGCTTCATACGTTCTCTTCCCATTCTATACTTCCTTTGTTACACATCTTCTCACATCACATTGTCGTAGCTCCATACGGGGGCATAGAGCCGTCGCTCTGACATCATGTGAGAAGTGACATTCGTGTCTAGCTCCTTTATGGGCGCATATGGCTGTCGTCGACAGTCGCACGACGTGTCTGTTCTATTCGCGTCACTCTTGCACGCGTCCCATCTCCTGTCCTGTTCGCATCACTCCTGCACGCGTCCCATCTCCTCGCCGTAGCTCCTTGCAGGAGTTCTGAGCTGTCGCTCTGGCATGGCATGATGGGCGACTCTCGCACTTAGCGCCTTTATGGGTGCCTGGCTGTCGTCGACGGTCGCGCGATGAGTCTGTGCTGTTCGCATCACCATTCGACGCGTCACCTCTCCTTGCTACGTCTGTCCCATTCGCGTCACTCTTGCACGCGTCCCATCTCCTCTCTTTTCTGTCTTGTTCGCGTCACTCGTGCACGCGTCCCATCTCCTTTATTTCCTGTCCTGTTCGCGTCACTCTTACACGCGTCCCATCTCCTTGCCGTAGCTTTTTACGGTAGTTCTGAGCTGTCGCTCTGGCATGGCATGTTGGGCGACTCTCGCACTTAGCGCCTTTATGGGTGCCTGGCTGTCGTCGACGGTCGCGCGATGAGTCTGTGCTGTTCGCATCACCATTCGACGCGTTTCATATTGTCCGGCTCTCGCCGGAGGTTGTGCAATATGTTAGTTGGTTTATTTTTGTGCGGCCCTTATGCATATCCCACACTCCATCTCCTTCCCGTTGCTTTTCGCGTGGGCTTCGAGTTGTCGCCCTAGTTGGGTGTGATAGCGGGCTCATCTGTCCAACTCCCTGTTGCTTCAGTTCAATGTCAATTTAGCAACAATTGATAGATATACTGACACTGTTAGGTTATTAAGAACGTCGGGTCATGGAATTTCTGTGCAGCAATGTCAGATAATAAAAGGCAACACAAAGAAGGGTCGGAGGCTACTCTGAGCATTACCCCCACATAATCAACCTTCAAGACGCTTATCATCTCCTGAAGCTTTCTGTGAAGGATATCTGCTTATTATCCGAGTTTGAGGATCTGAGTGGGCATTGGTTTCATTGAGGTTTACTTACAGTTTTCGTGTTTCCTCTCTAGGTCATCCAACAGGTCTGGATGATATTGGCCTATATGAGTCGCTCAGGTGTTGCGAGGCAAGATACGAGCTAATTTGAGAGAGACGGTACAGACGAAAATGAACAGGAGGATCTCAACTCATTTTTGATTGTTCCGTAGTATTTACTTATACTACTTGCTTTCCGACAAACTCGGATGACGTTAAAATCCGCTGCCTATCGTGCACGGATCATATCAACTGATATTGTCGTCAACTCGTACCTCGCGCAACAACATCAATCTACATGATGGAGCATTATAATCACAAACGAGCTGGTCTTGGGCTTGAAGTAATTGGTGACACTCGTTTTGGTACTATTTATTGGGCAGCACTATCAATAAAATGTGGATTGCCAGCATTTCAGGCTGTCCTTGAAGATACTGATCTTGGAATTGATATGGCGGTGAGTGTTGTCTTCGTTATAGACTCACAACATAGTGCAGTGTTTCACAATGTTCCAGCGTATAAACAGGCCAATCCAATCGCGATAGATCTCATCCTGAATAATCGGCAAAGCAAGGACAACATAGTTACATGTGCATCAAAACCTCCCCCTGATATGTCGAAGCGAGCAGCTCTTGGCATTCAAAAGATTTTGCAGCGGAAATATGGTAATGTTCACGACACAGCCAAATATACTGACCCAAAAGCTGAGATGCAACGTCGAAACTCCGCACTCGCACATCTGGGTCTGGCTGAAGCACTTCATAATCAGTTCGAGGCTTATTTCCGTGCTTAGTATTCATTCAATCGCAAGATGCGCTCCAATCAGACCCCACGTGATTACTGGCGAGCACTGTTGAAGTCAGGGGATGAACTTGCTGATGTACTTCCAGTGAGTATAAAGTTTCCGTCGTTTTCTAAAATTTCTAACTATATCTGCCAGATTATCGCAATTAAAATGTTCCCTCAAACCAGATTGACAGGACACTACTTCGTGCGCGCTATTCTCAATGTCGAACTCACTTATCTCACTCGATTTTAACCAGATGTTCAGGATCTTTTTGTTGTTAATGTTTTGTATGTTTCTGAATCGATTCGTAGTAATATTAAAGTGTAGCTATATATGACAAAACGCGAAATATGATGCATATACAAAAAGCTTAAGCTACAGTGCAAAGCTATATATCCGCTGTGTCGATAGAATTTGAAACATGGGTAAGACTAGAGATTCAATAGAGATGTTGATGTTACAGGTAAATGCATATATATATACTAACTACTTCAAAAGTCCAGCTTTTAACAATCTCAACCGTCTTTCCTGCCTGTTCCTTTGACGCCTTTCCTGCTCCTCCTTGTCATCTCTGGCGGGGGGTTCTACAATCACGACCTCATCATCCTCATCCGCGACCCTCTCCTTTCTTGTGCCAGCCCTCTTGGGGGCGGGTTCCACAATCTCTACCTCGTCGTCATCTCTAGCCCTCTTCTTGGCTGGGATCTTTGATGACGTCCTGTTAACCCTCTCATCCCATGCCTTCAAGATGGCCTTATCTCTCAACGATGCCTTCTTTATGGCTTCATCTCTCTCCTCATCTCTCTCCCTCCTGTATCTTTCTCTGAATCTTTCCTCTGGAGTCTTCAACGTGTCGATTGGACTCTCGGACCGCGTGTCCACTGGAATGTCGGGCTGCGTGTCTACCGGACTGTCGCGACGCATCGTCTTCATCTTCCTAGGCCCTCTTCTGTTGGTGGGCGCCGTCATCCTTCCGACCCTCCTGACTTTTGGTGGTGCGCCATCGATAGGCTGCTTTGGTTTGGTCGGGGGTTGGGGTCGCGTCATTGTGAGTTATTATAAGAGACAAGGATTGTAAGTCACAAAATAATGTGATAGTTGTAGGATGAAGACGAAGACAAGCGTATTTGAAGTGAACTAGATACTGTGGACTGTGGTGACTCTATTGAATCGTGAAGCGGTCCACCTGGTTAATTGAGCGAATCTCTCAGAGGCACTTAGATGATCACTCATACATACATATATTAGATATATTTACACATCGTAAACACATTTGATCTACTTTCACCCCAAGTTTGAAATGGTAAGCGTCTGGTTTGCAACAGATGATCGCTGTACTGATCGCCTAACTACCATTCACGATTCAAATGTCAAGTTTGCTGATTGATGCCCAATCAAAATCGACAAGAATGAGGTAGATACGCGTAGATAGATGTCTAACCACAAATTGAGGTAGATATAAATCTAAGAATTTCGAGAAAGCAAAACCCTAATTTTGTGCAAAACGCAAAGAATATTGGCAAAGGAAGAAAATGCAAATATTGTCAGACTGCGATCGCGTAGTTTGCAACTGCGCAACGAACTTTCGGCAAACTTTGCACATGCACACTAGGTCAATGTGCACCTGGTAGCGACCATGCTGATATTAGTGTGTTTCGCCTCCCCCCTGGTGGTTCTCAAGAATATGCTGACAATTTACGCCACCTCGTCCCATCCCCTAGTCAACGACAATTGGAGATGCGCAGGACAGAGACCAGTATCACGAAGCCACCTCTTATTCTTAGACTCAACCCTTCACGTTGCCTTGGAGTTCCCAACTGTACGACCACGGATATTATGCATCTAGCTGGTAACCTCAGTGACCTCCTCATTTCTCTTTGGCGTGGAACGATAGATTGTGCCGCTACAGATGATGTAACTACATGGGATTGGGCAGTACTCCATGACGCGGAAGCTTGGAGTGCACATGGGGAGTTGGTTGCACAAGCGGGTCCGTTTCTTCCTGGTTCTTTTGATCGCAGAAAAACTCAACACAAGTTAGTTATAAAACTTAGGAATTCCAACTGTAAACCGTTAGTCTCGCTCCTGGCCTTTTTGGAACACTCACTTTTTCAGATCCCTCTGCACAAGCGCCAGGCATTTCTGGACACCAAGTGACTAGTACGGATGGCTTGTGTGCTATTCCTGCAAATGATACCGGCGAGATGTCCTTATCGTATGGTGCTAGTCGTGCTTCCACCTTGGGAGCACTTGCGAAACAAACACGCGAGAGCGCCGATTCTCAACGCTTTGTATGTCGATGCAAGCGGGCCCAAGAGTGTGGAACCTGAACAAGTGGTATGTGTTCATATTCAAACACACACAAGTCTCACTATTGTTTTAAAGATCCGTCCTGATGACGACCCTCTGCACACTCCCAATGACTAACATACACTTCCCCCCGACAACGAACCTCTGCACACTCCAACAACAAACTTTGAGGACTATCGCTGAGGATTATCGCGACTATGGGACGGACTATTGAGAATTTTAGCATATGGCCGCACTTTGTAACTTTGAGGACTTACTGGAGTCACCAGACTTTGACGACTTTAAGCACGTAGTTGTACCTTCACTTAATATGAGGGAATATACCTACTATTATTGGACTTCCAAGACCGAACTTTGAGGACTTGCCACCCACGACTTTGAGGACACTTTGAGGACTTACCACGAGACTTTGAGAAATTACAACGACTTTAAGGACACTTTGAGGAATTACCACGACTTTAAGGACACTATGAGGACTTACCACGACTTCAAGGACGCTTTGAGGAATTACCACGACTATGAGGACACTTTGAATACTATGACGACTTCAAAGACACTTTGAGGACTTACCACGACTTCAAGGACGCTTTGAGGATTTACCACGACTTTAAGGACTTACTAGACTTACTTGACTTTGGCGATTTTAACCACATAGTCGTACTTTCACTTGATATGACTCTGAGCACAATTTTTGGACTATACCTAATATTAATGGACTTCCAAGACCGATGACTATATTCACACTGATTATTTACCAAGTGTCTGACCGCTCTGAATGTATTATGACTTTGAGGACACGGTCACACTTCCAAGACTCACCACATTCACACTTTCCTTACTAAGCTTATGAAGATCAACTTCTCCTGTAAAACACATCCTTCAAATCGATGATATTGTCAAAAGTCCACTGTTGGTTGAAGCCAACAATTGTGCAAGTGTCTCCTTACCTAATGCGTGTGGCCGATTCAAATCCATTTATTTGACCCCGCCGCTCGTCCTTCTTTCCTCTTAACTTCTTTCGCCCCATCTTGAATTTGCAAAGCTCGTAACATTACGAGCTAATAGCATATCATAACCAACCCCACGCTTAGTTTTATCTTAAATAAGTGAATTCCTCGTTGATATACAATGCCACAGCACGACCAACCGGACAAGAAGCCAAGGCTTCAGCACGCCGATCTTTCCGAATCTAATCTTACCGAACAGGAAAAGCAACGCGAACGTCAAAGACGATGGCTCGCCAACGAGAAGCGCGATCCTGCTCGGGCGCAAGAGATCAAGGAAAGGAACGCGGCCAACAAACGTGCATGGAGAAAGCGAAAGAAGGAGGAAAAGGAGAAGGCCGACCAAACAGGCAACGCAGGCCCCGCCGAAGGACAAGGTCCTGCGAAGAAACAGCGTGTTTCCTCTCCCGAAACACATGCTGAGGCGGGACCGTCCAACTCAGCCCCAGACGATATCCCTATCAACCCAATCCTCCTCAACCAGGAGGAAACCCTTCCTCAGGCGGGACCTTCTAACTCAGGCCCGGACCATATCCCTATCGACCCACTTCTCCTCAACCAGGAGATTGCCGCGCCTACTCCCACTCTCCCTCTAATGCGCGATGCTGAGGTGATGACGGATGCGCCGGAACCTTTCGTCAATCTGCCCGTCGAAACCATCCCTGTACCTTCTTCGCCTACCTTCTCTACCCTTACCAATCTCGACTCTCGCGACCGGGCGACTCCCATTATCGGCACTCAAGTACACGAAAAATCAGACACCATCGACTGGTCTGATGGATCCACGACGGTACTACCGTGCATCATGAGGGATGGCGTCAATATATGCCAAGAAGACGCCGACACAGTGGCTTTCTTTGCTTCTCTCCCGGAATCGCTTCCAGAGACCTCTAAAAACGTCGTGCATTTACATTACAAGGACTGGCGCACAAAGAGCCGACAGTTGTGCGACGAGATCTCTGCGGCGATTCGGGTAAACAAAGCCGTCGTCATTCGGAACATAAGCACACCCGAACCTGCAACGTTGGATCTAGACTACCTCGAAGATCGCGGGATGTCAGACTTAATGCACGTCGTCATACATGGTATGATTATTTTAATTTTGTATACTCATCACACGATCTAACCTTGTTACAACAGACGCTGAACAACGTACCAAGGATTTCACGTTTCCCCACCAGCATGCAACTCTCGAAGAGTTCGTGAACAACATACACGATCCTAACAAGATCCAGTGTATTCTAGACGTTGGATACGGACAAGGTGGTCTCCCGTCAGCTCTAAGGTTCGTACCCATATCATTATTCTAATCCATCACACTACTAAGTTAGCTGACCCGTCCATTATTAGCACTCTCGACAGCGGTATCGTCAACGGATGGAATCAAACTACCGTTGACTGCCCCGTCGGTGAAAAGGTCCACCCGGATAACTTCACCGTACACTCGTGGGCGTTGATTCATAGCCCCGCGTTTTGGACACATCCGCACCACGACTCGGATGGTAGCCTGACATTCGTGCAAGTCGAAACAGGCGAAAAAAAATGGGGCCTGTGGCGACACGTTCACGAGGACATGCTCACACGGACCCACCTCTCCGAAATAGCCCCCGAACTCACGGATCTCTATCAAAACCGCAAGAAAATACAGGAGACTTGGCACGGAGAAATTGTCACTCTCTTACCCGGTGACATGCTGTGAGTACATTGTTATTTTATAAGGATTTTTACTCATAATTACTAGTATACAACCTCCAGGCCAATTCCACGCGGTTTATACACCAGTAACTTCGTTTGCCACCGGAGGGCATTTCTACAACTACGAAACCATGCATCTAACGGAACTTTCTCGATACATAGACCACAAGCAAGGAAGGACCCTCACTAACCAAGTCCACGAGCATTCTCTGGAAACTTTTCAGCGAATGGTCATTAACTTACCGCGCATATCGCGTCGTATTAGTGAGTCTATTTCTACTTGTACAACGTTGGACACTTTTGACATAATTTTTCAGAGCTATACAGCAGGCCTTTGATTGCTCTTTGCATCATGGTCTTCGATTGCAACAAATATGTTGCCGCCGGCACTGAAAAGCCGAAGTTCAAGACGAACACCACAAAGCCGGCGCATGATATCGCCAACGCGATCATAAAGAACTTCTGGAAGGACCTCAAGAACGCAACTAGCGTGTATCGCAAGAAGCAGATACATGGCAGCAATAGCCAGACGCATCCGGGTGAACCCATTAGTAGAGATGAACTGCTGAATTGCTTGAAGCGCTTCACTGCGCTGTAGTGTAGTTACTATATATTTACTTAAAATTGGATTTGACATGCTGTATGAATAGACTGTACAATACATTCTTATTAGGTGGGATGTGCAGGTATGACCGAGAAGTTAAACAATCGTGAATGTAACGCTATATTATAACTCTTCAATTCTTTTGCGAGTCACATTTGTGTTTGATACATCATGGGAATTTATCTTGATCCTATTAGTAAATCTATAAGTTATGTTGGACGAAGAAATAGATGGAGCCGAAGTGAAATAATCGATACTGTCCGCACAGTGTCCTCAAAGTGTCCTCAAAGTGTCCGCAAAGTTTATAGTCACCCAAGTGTCTTCAAAGTGTCCTCAAAGTAGCATAGTCATCAAAGTGTCCGCAAAGTCGTATAGTCCGCAAAGTGTCCGCAGTGTCCTCAAAGTAGTATAGTCCGCAAAGTGCCGGCAAAGTGTCGGCAAAGTGTACTCAAAGTAGCATAGTCATCAAAGTGTCCGCAAAGTCGTATAGTCACCAAAGTATCAGTGAAGTGTCCGCGAAGTGTAGGCAAAGTGTCCTCAAAGTAGCACAGTCATCAGTGTCCGCAAAGTCGTATAAGTACTCACCAAAGTGTCCGCAAAGTTTCCACTGTAGTAATATCCAGATGCATCTGGGGCAGCCTATCAGCAGAGAAGAACTACTGACTTGTTCGAAGCGCTTCACCACTCTGTAGTATTTTTTACTAGATATATTACATATATTGGATTTTTCATGCTGTATGAATGCATGAATACCAACTACGGAATTGTCCAATATATTTTTAGTCGTGATACTCGTCAAATTCTAGTTAAACAAGTGTGAATGCAGCGCCAGATTATAAAGGTTCAACGTTTTTGCGAGTCACACTCGTATTATTACGCATTTGAATTGATTAGGATTCTACTAATAAATCTGTGATTTAAGTGTGCACGAAGAAATACATAGAGCTGAAGTGAAATAATTGATACTCAAAATGAGTCCTCAAAGTCACACCGGGTCATCAAAGTGTCCTCCAAGTTCAACGACGTCCTCAAAGTCAAACCGGGTCCTCAAAGTCAAGGTACGTCTTCAAAGTCTCACGACGTCCTCAAATCGTTGTTTGAATCTATGAAAAATCCAGACAAGATACAATTGCACTATGATAATTCAGTGCACATTGTATAAATTTACGATAGTCTTGTCACGTGAACATTATCACGTGAAAATTATCACGTGATGGTTCAAAATGTGGTTCAATTTCAACTTCCGCTTCATACGTTCTCTTCCCATTCTACTTCCTTTGTTACACATCTTCTCACATCACATTGTCGTAGCTCCTAACGGGGGCAAAGAGCCGTCGCTCTGACACCATGTGAGAAGTGACATTCGTGTCTAGCGCCTTTATGGGCGCATATGGCTGTCGTCGACAGTCGCATGACGTGTCTGTTCTGTTTGCGTCACTCTTGCACGCGTCCCATCTCCTCGCCGTAGCTCCTTACGGGAGTTTTGAGCTGTCGCTCTGGCATGGCATGATGGGCGACTCTCGCACTTAGCGCCTTTATGGGTGCCTGGCTGTCGTCGACGGTCGTGCGATGAATCTGTTCGGTTCGTATCACTATTCGACGCATCACCTCTCCTTGCTGTGTCTGTCCCATTCGCGTCACTCTTGCACGCATCCCATCTCCTTTCTTTTCCTGTCCTGTTCGCGTCACTCTTACACGCGTCCCATCTTTTTGCCGTAGCTCCTTACGGGAGTTTTGAGCTGTCGCTCTGGCATGGCATGTTGGGCGACTCTCGCACTTAGCGCCTGTATGGGTGCCTGGCTGTCGTCGACGGTCGTGCGATGAATCTGTTCGGTTCGTATCACTATTCGACGCATCACCTCTCCTTGCTGTGTCTGTCCCATTCGCGTCACTCTTGCACGCATCCCATCTCCTTTCTTTTCCTGTCCTGTTCGCGTCACTCTTACACGCGTCCCATCTCCTTGCCGTAGCTCCTTACGGGAGTTTTGAGCTGTCGCTCTGGCATGGCATGTTGGGCGACTCTCGCACTTAGCGCCTGTATGGGTGCCTGGCTGTCGTCGACGGTCGTGCGATGAATCTGTTCGGTTCGTATCACTATTCGACGCATCACCTCTCCTTGCTGTGTCTGTCCCATTCGCGTCACTCTTGCACGCATCCCATCTCCTTTCTTTTCCTGTCCTGTTCGCGTCACTCTTACACGCGTCCCATCTCCTTGCCGTAGCTCCTTACGGGAGTTTTGAGCTGTCGCTCTGGCATGGCATGTTGGGCGACTCTCGCACTTAGCGCCTGTATGGGTGCCTGACTGTCGTCGACGGTCGCGCGATTAGTCTGTTCTGTTTATATCACTATTCGACCCATCAGCACATCTCCTTGCTGTGTCTGCCACGTTCGCGTCACTCTTTCACGCGTCCAATCTCCTTGCTGTTTCTGTCCTGTTCGCGTCGCTCTTGCACGCGTCCAATCTCCTAGCTGTTTCTGTCCTGTTCGCGTAACTCATTGCACGCGTCCCATCTCCGTGCCGTAGTTCCTTACGTGGGTTTTGAGCTGTCGCTCTGGCATCGCACGATGGGTGACTCTCGCGCTTAGCGCCTTTATAGGCGTCTGGCTGTCGTCGACGGTCGCGCGATGTGTCTGTGCTGTTTGTATCAATATCTACTATATCTTCTTCAACATGTTATCAAAGCAATTGTAAGTAGTCTTGAAAATATTCCTGCGGACGCCTAGCAGAATTGAGTTATCACTCTGGAGATGAGCATTTCAACAAACACAATTAAGTGATCTGAGAGGACAGGGGAAGAATTGAACGTATGATTGTGTATCTATATCCCATGACAGAGCTGTTCCATGAATTCGAAAATAAACTTCCTCAAGTAGTTACAAGACAATGAACCGACTTTGGTGAATTGTAGACTCACCCACGATACACCTCATACATTCATTAAACATAGTATTTATAAGCAATGAAGCAGTTGATTCACCATATGTACATGGAATACTGATTGATATGTGGAGACATGCACCATCAACATAGTCACCACCTGTGATGTTCTGGCATATGGCCGCCACTATTACACATTACTGTGACTTCCTCGAGGTTTCACAAATATTCACGTATTTATCACACAAATTGCTTGATGCTTGGAAAAAATCATTTGTTGTATGTGGATATTGGAGTGCTAATGCATTTGTGCTCACAATGGCGGCCAAGCTAACAAGTAAAATAATGAATATCCACATGTTGCACAATGTACATGATTGTGAACGTGACTGCTCAAATTTGTGGGTGGCATAATGCACAATACTGATTCTGGACTGGCTCCTGTGGATATTTGTGCGTGGGAGAATACAATAGAGGGATTTCGGAATGGCCATGGTGGATATTTATTACTCTCGAGCATTATTAAAACAATCTCGCAAATTATTAATATATCATTCCCGGTCCAAACCAACAACAGGTACATGTATAATTAAGCTCTGATATTCAAGTGAACCAATTGCCTCATTGAGGCTCTTGAGCTCTCACATAACGGGTTTGAAATGAGAATATCGAATTAATGGGAAAGGAAAGTCATTGTATTGAGTCGTTTATAGAATATATGAACTAAACCACACATGCGTCCAAATTTTCAATTTTGTGTATTGAGATACAGGGAATGACAGGATGAAAAGGATCATCTAAGAGCATAATGTACATATGATGGATAGTTGGGTACGTATGATGGGTGTGCTACTAGTATATAATTTTACTAGCTAATTAGTCCCTAAGTCGTCAGGTATCAATCAGACACCGTCAAATCTATCACCTCTGGCTTTTTTTTGGCTTTGGCCTTTCTGCGCATATTTCCAAGACCAGATGGCTTTATGATTCTCAGCATCATCTGAGGCCGAGGGGAGTACAGAAGGAATTCAACGAGAGTTGTGACGCGCAGGTTTCCCTCTAGGTTTTCTATCGCATGTCTTAATCGTGGAACCTAAAAATCAATTAATATAACCTTCCAATGAAAACAACGAATAAATCTCACGCAATCCCAAATGTCTCCCTCTTCGGGGGTATCCCCGACAATCTCCATCTTCAAAAATTTAGTCAAGAAATCCTCGTATTCCTGTCCTGGCTGGTCTTTAGCGGAGGACACGATCGTCTGGATTATGCGGTACGGTAGGAATATCTTTCTGAATTGACTCCTGTATTGCGCCGATGGAACTCCCAGACAATATCGAGCTCGCTCGGTTTCGATATACATGGAACTGTAAAATGAATGTCATAAGATATCAAGCGAGTTCAAGATAAAGGCGACTTACCCATCAGGGTCAGCAAGGTTGATGTCGTAACTCTGTATGGGTTCAATACGAATAAAGCCAGGCTCGTGTCCTTCGACACAAATCATACCAGCCCCGTTGATATCGCGAGACCCGAGTTCAAAATGACCGTCTAGTTCTGGAAGAAGAACCATGTCTTGCCACCAGTCGAAAAAAGCAAAGTCCTGTAGTAAGTACACGGTGTCTTTCTGTCCACCGCTTTGCCGCTTGACAGGGAAGTACTTATGTTCCGGTACTAATGTACCGGACGGTGGAAGATAAGGCTTCCCATGGTCAGGAACTTCAGTAGTACTGTTGCTATCTACGGTGAGTATTTCGTCCGGAAAGGACACCTCGTATGCTGTCGGTTTCCTTCTTCCTTTGCGATCAGCTGGCATCCTGGCTTGTCTTGGTATTGAACAAGTGAGTAAAAAAGACGAGGGTTGTGTGGTTGAAAGCTGAGATGATTTATTGGCTGGTAGGGGAATTTCTTTGAGCAAGCCAAGGTGTGAGATGCAGGACAAGAAAACTTGACCGTTTTTATATCTATCTGGTCCTGTGGCAATTTTTGCGACTGCGCATGTGGATGATTCACAATTTATTGAACACGAAAGTTGACACAGGACAATAATGATTTTGTTGTGGGACTCATGTTTGACCACGATTTATTCTGCCATTGTAGTATGGACCATTATGCTCCCGAGCACTGCATCTTGTGCTTGGTGTCTCCTTGAATTCATTTGTTGACTTTGATATTTTTTTTTCTGCTATTATTACGTAGAATCACCACTACAGCGCTACCGTGCTCCATAATACAACAATGTGCTACAGAAATGAATTTTTGCTACAATTACTACAGGTGCCTCCAAGCACCTTAGCGTTACATAATTTGGCTATGTAGCACTATGTAACCAGTCACTGGAGCTCCCAAAATATTTGTTTTTTTCCCTCCATAGTAAGTGAAAGTCTCGCTATGCAGTCGTAGTTAGATAGAATCTTGGCCTACGATGTATTGATTGACTTGCCTCATACTGTTCGCCTCCCCCGGTCTGTGTTTTGTATGTGGATTATGGAGTGCTAATACATTCGTATGTACAATGATGGCCGAGCTCACATGTACAATAATGAATATTTACATGCTACAAAATGCAATGGACAGAATTGCGAAATCGGCGCTGCTGACATGTGCGCGTGGCAGACTGCATGTGCCCAGAGTAATGTTTAGCATTGACGGGCCCGTTTGTCCATCTGAAGAGCTGCCCAATATGCAGCTCATATAGATGGGATCAAGCAAAGTTATGAGCGAGTAGGGGAAAAATCAAGGTCGCGGCACAAACATTTGTTACTATCCCACTTGAGCCGCAGCTACAGCCGCTCTATCGTGACGCGGCGAGTGCGTGTCATATGCGATACCTTTTGGAGCGAACCCAGGAGGTTCTAGATGGTGTGAGGCAGATAGGAAAGATCCCCGTTGTTGACGATATCGCAATGTGGTTTGATATTCTTGGTACTGTGCTTGATGGTGAGATCAAGCAGGATGTCATTCTTCTGATGGATTGCTCTGGCGCTTACGGTGTTACTGCTCTCTATCGTTGGGTAATTATTGCTCTGTCGCGTTGGTGTAATTCAGTTTAAAATGTATCTGTAATTATTTTCTATCGTCGATGTTCATTCTATAAATGAATAAATATAGTATTACTATAATGAGTGGACACATTTATCCCGCTGCAGGTTGATCTTGGGGCTTAGTATTCAATACGACTTCGATATCTTGAAACTGTGTCCTCACAAAATTGATCTCACAGTTTCTGCATGGTACAGCAAAGCCTCATTTATATCCAGCAATGAAATAACGAGTTGGAAAGTATGCATATATTTTTGGCTCTATGAATTTATTTCGAAATGTAGATTTCGAACCCATCTGAAAAATGGCATCTCGCATGCGCCGACGAATATACTCGTATATTAACAACACCATCAATTTTTGTCTTCACCCCCACAATGTTAATTAAATACGATAAGGTGACAAGTTTTCCCTCAGCGGTGTCCGCTGCTCCAACAACAAATGACAGCAGCCATGGGAATATCTCACTTTATTTTTTAACAGGGCAATAATTTGAGCGCATATACTGCATCTACTTTGTGATACAAGCCAAAGGCGCTATTGAATGTGTACATTTTACAATTGGCGAGTGCCATCACAAACATGCAGTGAGTGTCTACTAATTCCATTCTGCATTGAACGACTATAAGCTCTTTACAAACGCTTTGTCCTCGCCATGTTATAAATCGGAGATAGCGCTCTCACCATCATCATCAGAATCAGCTTCTGGATCACTGTCGAGATCGCCTTCCTCGCACTGGTTATCACCTACGAGTCCCATGCTGCATGTGTCTGACAAGCAGCGATGCCTTTCTGTGTAAAATTTGAGCAAAAAATACTGGCGATTATTGCAAGGAACTACTTACTATTCTCAAGTATTGGTAACCGGACCCTTTCTTCCAATAATTCCCAAAATAAGATGTCCTGCCTCCGACGCAGGTCACGCCATTTGACCATCATGCTGGCCAATAGTACTATTCTATCATCGTTAATTCCAAACAACGCTAGGAAAGATTCGATTTCACGGTGGGATTCTTTGATGCGAAACGCCAGTACGCAGATGCGCGGATGACGAAGCAGACGCTTGATTGCAATTGGCTGACAATTGGGTGTCTCAAGCGACAGACTATTTATTTGGTGGGGCGGGTGCACCCCTGCAAGCGTCACCCCATCTAACTAGAGTCAATACATTAGGGGCAATTCTTGTTCAAAACCTTGAATACATTTTTGACCGGCGAATAACTACTCGTGACTCGTCACGGTCTCTACCTTTATACTACACAAAGGGATAGGTACAACTACACAAAGGGATAGGTACAACTACACAAAGGGATAGAACTACACAAAGGGATAGGTACAACTACACAAAGGGATAGAACTACACAAAGGGATAGGTATGTATATTACTGGTATAAGTCAGGTTACCGCGACTAGTCGTGTCAATACGCCCTCGTTGAACATCAATCAAATGGCAACGACTCTGAGCCAGACTCATAGTACTCTTACAGATGCTGACTTATTGAAACTAGGCATACCCTCATGGCCATCAAGGTTGCAAATGTATTCAAAAGCTGTGATGCAGTAAGTCCTTCGACTTGAATCAGCGCGACTTCCCGGTCAGTGTGACTACTAGTACTAGTACTAGGTCAGTTACGACGAT